CATCTACATTTAACTTCTTGTAGTTGTTAGAACTTCACAAAGTCATTGTTAGTTGTCCTTGTATTATTGCATCTATTGGTAAAAAATAATTCATTAAACTGTTTCCTCTTTACTTTCTCATTTCCAGTTCAATAACATTTCTGTATCATATCTCTCCCTTCCTCCTTTCCTCTCTCCTTCTCTCTCTTTGTGTGTGTGTGTGGGGGGGGGGGGAGCATTCTTTCCTGGTCCATTTTAATACAAGCCTGTTTAATTGCTCATGTGCTTTCCTGTATTTCTATAAATCAATTTAATGTAACTTTCTCTTGTTTATCTAACCATTGTTTATCTGACCATTCGATAAAATACCCTTTCTTGTAATTTGATTCCTGCATTTTGAGCCATATGTTATATTGTCATCTTAAGCATTTTTTAAGTTGTTTCCACTTGTATTTTTTTATTCTTCACTGTCCTGCTCTCCATTCCTTTCTAGGATCATCATGGTCAGATAACATTCCATTTTCATCTCCAATCTGTTTTGTAAGTTCCTGGGGTTTTAACCCCAAGTTCTTGCAAAAGCTCAATTCTTTTTCCTCTAGTTGCTTGTGTAAACACTTCCCTATCTTTTCATCACCTATGGGTTATTTCACCATTTCTTAACAGTTGAGTAAAATGACAGGAAGCTTTTCTCCTTTGCCAAGTATCCTGGCTTAAGTCCAAAACACCTGACTCTTCTTCCCTCCTTGCTGCATAAGTTGTTTAGTGTTCTAAATACTTCTTTTCTCTTTGTATACCATGCAAAGTGTGCTATTATATCCTTGGGAGGTGCTTTGGCAGATTACATGGACATGATTGTTCAATGTACCCTTTATAACTCTTAAACAGATATTCATTTAGACAGTTTTCTTTAAACCAGGTTATTTCATGAGCAGCCACATTTGTTTCTCCATATCTCTGATTATAACATTCAGGTAACTGTCTTTGTCCTCAGTGTCTGCCATTTTAATCTGAAGCTTTCTGGTAATTTAGAGACTTGCTCTAGTTTTCCCTGTTGCTTTAAATCAGGGGTCTCAAACTCAACTTACCTGGGGGCTGCTGGAAGTAGAGTCTGGGTGAGGCTGGGCCGCATCAAGTATTCCACAAAAAGGGGATTTCAAGTATTCCAAAAAAAGGTACAACTGATCCAATCTTCTCAATCTTTACTAATAATAATTCAGAACATGAACGGTTCTTCAGAAAATAGGCTTCTCTTACTTCCTCCTACTCCTTGCTGCCAGAGACCTGACAGTGCTTCCTCTTACACAGCTGAGCCACATTTGGCTTGAGGGAGGAAGCAACTGAGACCCTCAGTGTGGCTTGAAGATGCTCATCAGTAAGTTTGGACCTGAACTTTGACTTATTAAAGTTTTTCACACAGATAGGTGCTCCCAAAAAGGCACATGGTCCGCTAGAATATCCTGGAAAGCTCAGGGAAGGTAAGGGGCAATTCTCTCAAAAATTGTCCAAGCTTGTCTGCTTTTCCACTCACCTCTCTGAACTTGGCTTTGAGTTCAGAATTGTACTGCAGGGCAGTTAGCTCCACTTGAAGCACAGGAGGGGCATCTTCCACATCGAAGGAGAAGGGGTCAGCAAAACTTTGAAAAGTGGCTCTGTGTGTCTTGAAATCTACAAACTGTGATCAAATTCTTCCTGTAGTTTTACAATGGGATCAGCATACTTCTCACCGCTGAATGGTGTGCCAGAATCCATGAGTGCCTTGCATGCTGGGAAATGGCAGAAGTTTGTCTGAGAAAGCTGGGCTTTCCATAACACAAGTTTTGTGGAGAATGCTCTGACATTGTCATAGGCAGCACTGACAAGCTGCCCCTGGCCTTATAATTTCTTGTTCAGTGCATTCAGCTCCTGTGTGATGTCAACAAGAAAAGCTAAGTCCATGAGCCATTTGGGATCACTTAGTACAGGAACAGCCATCCCATCTTTCTCCATGAAAGTTTTCACCTCTGCTCTCAACTCAAAAAACCTCTTCAAGACGTTTCCCCTGCTAAGCCAATGTACCTCGGTGTAGTAGAGCACATCCTCATATGCTGACTCTATTTCCTCTAAAAAGGCTTGGAACTGCCTGTGCTTTAAGCCCCTGGATCTGATACGGTTGATGCATTTCACAACGTCAGACATCACATTGTCAAACTTCAGGCGTTTGCTGCAAAGGGCCTGCTGATGGATAATGCAGTGCAGAGCAATGGCCTCTTCCGCAGCCTCTTCTTCCAATTTTCTTTGAACAAGTGCCACAACTCCATTTCTCCTCCCTGTCATTGATGGCGCTCCATCGGTTATTATTCCAGCAAAACTCTTCCATAGTAAGCCGGCATCTGCAAAGGCATCACACAGCTGGCGGAATATCTCCTGAGTGGTGGTCTGGCCATGCATTGGAATCACTGTGAGTAATTCCTCCATCACTTCAAAATTGTTGTCAGCACCACGGACATATATTGTGAGCTGCGCAGTGTCAGTGACCAAGGCCGACCACCGTGGTGGTGGTGGGCCGCTCATCCCGCGTCGCTCCCGGAGGCCGGCCCAGGCGCCGCCAGCACTTTGAAGGCCACAGGGCCCCTCCCCCGTGCCCCATCCGTCCCGGCGCGCAGCTTAGAGGGAACATTGCGCCCAGGGTAACGACTCACGCAGGTGCGTGTGAGAAAAATGCACAGGCCGCACTATCACTAAACTTTGATATCAAGTGGGGGCCACAAAATATCGTCCCATGGGCTGCAATTGGCCTGTGGGCCGCGAGTTTGAGACCCCTGCTTTAAATCATGCTCTTTTATAGGATTAGCAGTGTTTTCTATGTCTGACAGTTTCTCTGTTTATACTGAGAATTGTTTATTGGGAATTGTGCAGACCATAAAGTTGCTTGCCATGCTTTTGCCACATCCACTGTCAATTGTTTAATTTCTAAGAAAATTCTGGGGGTTGGGTTATAAGGCACCCCAAATGGCTATGGCTTATTCTTGGGTTTAGGAAATCCATCATGGTTTAGCATGTTGTATGAACCCAGAAGACACACTGAGACGAACACATCTGACACATGGTCAAAATGAAAATCTCCAGAGTCCCTTGGCCAGAGCAGCAGAAAAAAGGTTGCCATTCTGGCCAAGGGGCTGTAGTTGATGACAACCACCATTACGTAGCAGGAGCCTAGGAGCCTATATTCTTTCCGACGCCAGGTGAAAACCTTTTTATTTGAACGTTATTTTAAGAATCAGCGATTTTTAAAATTAACAGTTGCTTTTTATGTGATTTATTCATTTTTAACTTGATTGTATTTTTATTGATTGTATTAATTATTACTATTTATTGTCTATTGAATTATTGATTGTTCTTATCATTGTTGTTGGTTTTAAGCTTGTAAGCCATCCTGAGACGCTGTCGTGAAGAATGGGATACAAATGTTTTAAATAAATACATATAGAGGAAAGCCATTAGGGTGGCGCCCCACCTATGGAATGTGTTCCCCAGAGAGGTCCGCCTGGCGCCGTCGTTATTTGTTTTTCGGCGCCAGGCTAAGACCTTTTTATTTAAAACTTATTTTAATTGTTAATTTATTACGTAGTTTTTTAACAAAAAAAATTAAGTCGAGATGCACCAGGTTTTAATATTTTTATTGTATAATTTTTATATGCTTTTGTTTGTTTTTGTTGTAAGCTGCCCCGAGGCTTTGTTGCGATGGGGGCGGCATAGAAATGTTATAAATAAATAATGAATAAATATACCTTGTGTTGCCTGCTCAAACCCTGTCCTGGTTCTGGAGAGGTTGTGCACAGCAGAGGAGCCAGCTGCTCAGCCTCACTTCTTCTCAAGGAGACAAGGATGAGTGGTTGGATTCTGCCTGTCACTACAGTCATTAGGCTACAGTGGTGATTACGAAGCAGCCAGTTGCTTCCTCAAGAGGAAGTAATGGGACAGGAAGCAGAAGATAGCATGCCTCTTCTGCTGTCTCCCTGAAAGGGGGTTGAGGGAGAGAATGTGACCTCCTCCGCTGCCTGCCACAAATACCACCTCCTTTTCAAGTGCCAAGCAGAATTTAGTAGGTGGCTCATCTGTGCAGATGAATCATGTTCAACTTGTACTGAAGGGGTTGTACTCTTCTAAAAGATCAGGTTCATATTTTGTTGCTGCTAGCTTTAGTGGTGTGGAGCACCCTACATCAGCTTAGGGTGATAAACTAACTGGCTCAATGATAGAGATAGCCTGAATAAAATTATTTCATGGGGTTATTAGGGAAGGTGACATCTTGTTTGTATCACTGCTTGTGTTACAACTTGGGTTCCCTCAGAAATGATGGGGAAAATTTAACTAGACCAAAATAGGGAAGTAAGATTATACTGAACAGGGCAATGCAGTCATTACATCAGTGCTCTCTCATCTGCATTTGCTCCTGGTTTTTTCCCCCCTAAGTTCAATTCAGACACTTGTATTAGCCTATAAAGCTCTAAGCAGGGTGGTACCAAAAGGGTTATGTCCCTCCCTCATGCCTGAACTCAAACTTCATCTTGAGACACTCTCTTTCATATGTCCATACCAAATGAGGTGAGGTAGGAGTCTGCTAACGAACGGGCTTTTCAGTGGTGGCACCACAGTTGTGGAATATCCTCCCTGAGGAGGCTTGCTTGGTGCCTGCATTGGAGTCTTCTCAGTGTCAGAGGTACCTTTCTCCTATATTTATTTATTAATTTTTTCATAAGTGGTATGCTTTTAGCTCTCTTTTGTGAATTACCCAGGGAGGTTTGGCTATTGAGCAATATACATTTATAATAAAGAGATGAAAGGAAATTATGCGTACTTATAAATATGTATTAATAATTGGATTACAGTGGTGAAGTCTACTACATAGCAGTGTGAAATCAATTTAAAGCAAAGTTTAACTGCCAATAATAGTTGCTGTTCTTCAGGTTCCTTATTTTCCTGGTTTTGTTTTTCTAAAGCCATTGCTTTTGCGTTTAATATTTCTTTGTTTTTCTACTTAGAATTCTGGAGAGAAAGTGAGCAAAGTGAGCCTGGTAGATTTGGCTGGTAGTGAAAGAGTATCTAAAACCGGAGCAGCAGGAGAACGTCTGAAGGAAGGCAGCAATATAAACAAGTAAGGCTTTGCTAAAATGTCCAAATAAACATACATTCTGACTGTACTCATAAGAATGCTCTTCAAATCAAGCTTCTTACTAGCAGGCTATATAGAAATAACATTTGTAAACCATAGGTGTTAAAATAACACCTTCATTTTTCTGTAGTTGGTTTTCATCAGAGTCCTGTGATTAAAGCAAGGCCTTCAACTTGAAGTGACTAAAGTATTTCATTGAATTAAAAGGTGTTCACCCATTAAATTTTCTTTTACACACTCATTTCCTCTGAGAATTCTGGTATCACATCAATATATAAAACATGCTGGAGTGCATGATAATAATGCAAGTGTAATTAACAGGTAACAAGCCACAGTTTAAGGATATATAGCCTTTGAAGAAGTCTGGTCTTCTCATAATTAAAGCAATGACACTTTAACAAAGTAATTAATTATTTTCATAGAAATTAGCAAAGCACTATAACTGTTGTTTTAGTTATATTATGAGTGAATGAAAAGCTGCACAATGCTAACTACAATGTAAGAATTGTAAAAGTTGCTTGATTTGCTCACAGTAAATCCTTGCTACAGAGCAGTTTTCTTATTAAATAAACGAAACAATGACATGACAATCAATTCTTATTTTTATAGTAGGATTCCTTTGTCATACATATGAACACACTTCTCTCGCATGTTAATTTGTTTCAAAAGGAAGATACTTTGTGAGCCAATGGAAAGTGTATTGACATTTTGGCCTGCTGTAGACAGATAATTCACCAATCTCTGTATTTGAGAAGCCAGTATGGCATCATGGTTAAGAATGTGGGACCGAGACTCAGGAGATCTGGGTTTTATGGTCTGTCTTTGGTGACTTTGGACCAGTCACAGACTCTCAGCCCAACCTTCCTCACAGGGTTATTATGATAAGACTATGAGGAAGAAAATTATGTAAGTCACCTTGCATTTCTTGAAAGGAAAAAAGGCAGGATGTAGACAAACAATGTAAGAAATGGTGGTTAAGAATTTGAGAGTAGACTAGGATAATCTAATTCATTCCCTTCCCCAATTTTGTCACTGTCAGTCATGATGGAGAATTATGTTTGTACCAATACTAAAGATGAAATTTAACATGGGTAAGCATTTTACCCAAGAATTGGAGCTGATTTGCCGCAATGTCTGCCACCATGGGGCAATTTTTCCAGCAACCCAAGAAATTAGTGTATCAATTATCCAGATAGGTACCCAGTCTAATAGTGCAATCCTGGATATGTGTACTCAGAAGTAAGTCCCATTGAGTGCAGGGTAATTTATTTCTGATAACTGTACATAGGGTTGCAATCTAGACTTGTCTGCACAAGTATGTACCCAGGAGAACTATGACTGCTTATTCTTTGATGTATTCTAAATGAATAGGCTGCATCTTAATTTGAACTGATCTCTTGTTGAATTCATCTGCAGAGCAAGATGAGACAATGACTCTTAGAAGGCTCTTTATGCCTAATTAAACTTTGACCCAGCATGAAGTAGACCCAGGTCATCCATTATTACTATAACTGGTACACTGATGGTCTACATTTCTTTTGTGAGCATTGGTATCTAGTTAGGTTCCTAAATTCTCAAACAAATTAATACATTTTAATTGGCACTGCATTGTGACTTACTAGCTTGAAAAAGAACAGAAACCTAAATTAGCCCTTGGTTAATGGATTTAAAAAGTTTGGAAGAACTGTAAATTGTTTTGAATTTCTGTTCCTGTACATGTCAACACAGAAAATGTAGAAACTGCAAAATCACTGTGTGGGAAGGTTTGGGAAAGGGACACAGTATATTAATTCATGAGTATTTGTGGAAGGTTTTGGAATTATTTAGTCAGTTGTACATTGAATAACATATGCTAAAATTATGTGAATTTGGTCATACAGTGTCTTATACAAGCACTCTTAATCACTTCCTTTTTACTGCATTGTTTGAGGGTTTTTTAAGCCATATGTAAGTAGAACAGTGTACATAAGAAGGTGTACTTGAGCATAAACAATCCTTTCCCTGACTGTAAAAAAATGTATTTTAATCATCACCACCACCACCCTTTTCATTGTTCACCACTTGGATATGTTGCTAGACACAGAGTAGCGAATAGTGGAAATAAATAGTAAAGAAAACAAAAGTTAACTGTGAAGTCTTACAGAGTTAGGTATCTTTCCCACGTCTCGTGTTAGGTTGTTAAGGAAATGTACATATTTTTCCTAAGCTTATTGCAGATGTTGTCAACCACACCCCTCCAATTGCTTTTGGAATAAAATTCTCATCAGCCCCATTCACCAAGGCTAATGGTCAGGGACTAAGTTGTACTCCAAAGCATTTGTAAGGCTATGGGCTACCCAATTTTGGTTTGCAGAATGAAAGTAATTTTGTTGTTGTTCTTAGTCATGAAGTCGTGTCCGACCCATCACGACCCCACGGACAACATTCCTCCAGGCCTTCCTGTCCTCCACCATCCCGCAGAGGCCACTTAAGCTCACGCCGACTGCTTCAGTGACTCCATCTAGCCACCTCATCCTCTGCCATCCCCTTCTTTTGCCATCTATTGTTCCCAACATTAGGCTCTTCTCCAGTGAGTCCTTCCTTCTCATTAGGTGGCCAAAGTATTTGAGTTTCATCTTCAGTATCTGGCCGTCTAAAGAGCAGTCAGGGTTG